CCCCCCCCCCCCCCTCAGATAATGAGGAAAAAAACCCACCTAATTATATAAAGTGTTCAAAATTATCGGAGGTGGAAACGGAATATTGGGTTTTGAATACTGAGTTTTAAGCTAGTTTGAATATGAATATTTCTGGTAAGAATATGAATATTTCAAAGAAAACTGCATGCCAATGTTTCCCGAATGAAGTCGAGGGAAACATCGGCAGTTGAGGGTCTACAAAACATACTTAATTTTATTATTAACCAGGGAATAAATCTCACTGCTCATGCAGTCCCGTTGCCAATCTGATGCGCTCTCGTCCAATGAGGCGCAACAATACATGAACATTTTGGTAAGAATATTGAATATTAAAGAAAAGATATTCCGCTTCCTCTCCAAGCATGTTTATCAAAAATGATTTCTTCAGAGCTTTGTAGCAGCCATTTCAATTATATCCACCATAGCTTCAATGAAAGATATACAGTGTATAGCTATATGTGGAAAAGGCTCATATCATCTATGGCTACCTAAATTTCCAATCTTAATAGAAAATCTCAAGTATTACTCAAAGGATAGGTACTAAACATTTTGCAATATAACTAAACATTAGTCTCTTTTAAACAGTCTAATACTTTATACTTTCCAAAAAGAGAGTAAGGACCACTTTAAAGCGATTACAAAGCAATAGTAGGTCTTACCTAACCAACTCGTGAGTGCTACAAACATATTCTGGTTTGTAATTCCAGTGATTGTAACGAATATAACTCTTGGTGTTGATTAATATCCACTGGCATCCCTTAGTTAGGATATGATAATCTCCAGTTTCGGCTTCACCATTCTCAAATACTACGGACATACGAGGGAACAAAAAATTATAATGAGGCGAGAATTACAAATGAAGGAAAATATAAAGTAATAGAGGAGATGAATATGTACAGTTATGACAAACTTTCAAAGATTGCATGTCAAAATTGGCTCATGAAATTTAAGGCTCAAAATGTTTTCTGGACGCATTATTACCAGACATATTATTTTCTATTAATAATTAATAAGTTAAAAATTTGCACCGATTTATCTACTGTATCTGCGTCGTATACCCAAACGTTTGATTACTGTGCCGCTGATTCATGCACTGCTGGAGACTGGGGAGATACTCAAGGGGGTTGTGAAGGATGGAAATGGAACGACTCAATTAAGTGTCTCACGTGTGCTGGTCACGAAGCTGTATTGCAAATCATGTCGCCTGGGTAAATACAGGTTCTCAATGAGAATTTAGAAGAATGCAAAATATAAAATGAATACTCGTTCTTCAGAAAATTTCCCGTCGTTAAATTTCTGGCCATATATGCTTATTATCCTTGGCATGTGAGACATTGAAACATAGTGCCAATAACCAAGAACATTTTAACACACTCCTATAGGACTTTTTCCAAATCAAACCACATCCCATCAATATAAACGAACTTTAAATTACAAGTTAAATTAATACGAATGTAAATTTGACAAAAAGTTTTTCGCACAAATCAAATGCATGTGCATGGGAATCAGTTTTTGGACATAGATATGGTGAGTTATGTTATTTCTTAGCACAGACATACATGCTTCAAAACTCGTTCTGATATTTTCCAGATCATCAAAATGAATGAACTCATACAGCATGGATCCAAGGATCTCGTCTGGCAGGTAACCTGTGATACGAGTGCACCTGCAAAGATAGGCAATAATTCAGGAATGTATGTATAGTCAGGGGTAGCCTACTCCGCAGGCATCTCGTGGTTCACTTACTTTACAAAGTCGGTGAGATATGCCTGGATGGATCAATTTTATTTAGAACCTTTATTTAAAACACACTGATCTTTTCAACTAATGCTGGTTTCCAAAAGCAACCTCGTACCCAGGGTCTTTCCTCTTTACGAGAGGAGAAAAGCACCTGGTAGACGCTGGTCACGTGATCTGCTAAAATCAAGCAGATTTTTAATTAGCAATCCAAGATGAGGTCAATAAATATTTGATATTTGGATAATTTTTATAGATTAATTTATAATTTGCTTTTCGTATGATTGTCGTAAAGGAATCCAAGATAGTTAACTAGAAATCTGCTAGATTTTAGCAGACCACGTGACCAGCGTCTACCAGGGTCTTTTTTCCACAAGAGGAAAGACCCTGGGTACGAGGTTGTTCCAAAAGAGGTGTGTACTACAATGATTTACAAAAATAGAATAAATCCCCCCCCCCCCATTAATTACCTGTGATGCATGTTCATTACTGATTTCACAAATTATATAAATATTATGAATTTGTTAACTAATAGTACTATAAATTAGTAAAGAAATCGAAGAATATTACAACAATAATTTAAGCATGACGATTGCTAATGGCAATCGACATGGTTGAGCCGTTCTGCGCATCTTGCTTGCGCAGCGATTTCATCTTTAGCGTAGGCACATGGGGAGGATTTTGTCATCCAAGATGGCGGATTGCATGGAGTGAAGAATTATGAAAATTAGAACAGGTGGGAAAACTGTCGTCGCTGACCAAATTTATCGCGGACGCTTTCTTTTTGCCGGTAAAAATTGTGAAAACAACAAAAACCCAGATTTCGCTTGCCTGTCTCGTACTGCAATGGAGGAAAATAATAGCGAAACAGCAGACATAAACGATAATAATAATATAATATTAATAACACTTTATTTATTGAGGATAAACAGATAAAGTTACAACTTTTTTCCAATCTGGTCCTCCTAAACTCTATAGACACAACAACAATATCATGTTTAATGTTATTGTTGTTGTGTCTATAGAGTTTAGGAGGACCAGATTGGAAAAAATCAATACAACTGGAAACGTTTTTTTGTAATCTGTACTGTCGCATATTTAAACCATCCTTTGAGAATATTCGATTCTTTTTCTGATTGTTTATATTGTAAATGTACCAAGCAAGATATTCTATTTTTATCGTTATTTATTGTTATTTATTGATTTGGGTAAAATGAAAGTAAGCCCGCGATGGTGTGTTACTAATCTTTTGAGTTTAAAAATGATCTATCTTTCTCAGGCAGTTTAGGCAGCTCATTGAATATTATCCATCATTATCCAAATTGGACCCTACCAAATAAAAGGTGAAGTGATTTACCTTTCGTCTAAGTACACAAACTTTCCATCCAGATTTTGTCTTGAAGTGAACTCCACAGCAATGTTAAGCCGGTTGCTCACATGACATTGGTAGCTTGGTTGAATGAGTTTTGCCAAGGCAACAAAACAAGTTTCATTTGAACTCGAAACAGTGTGTCCATCACTCGTTGACTCAACTTCTACAAATAATTCCGTTTAATTATTTAGGTAATCTATGATAATTTATATCCATACCATACTTTCATGTATACTGTCTACGTGTAACGCAAATAACGTACTGTACGAGTTTGGTCTATCTTCAACTTGTTTTGACTGCAATAGACGTTTTCCAACTTGAAGATAGCTTCACAACCATGCATGCGCGCACGTCTCAGGCTATGAGGCTACTCGCTTCGCTAGGTTTTCCAACATTAATGTGTTGTTATTTGACTAATTTCCCTCTCTCCTCCGCAGAGCGTCCTTAAGTATTTACAAATAACTTACATGAAGTTTCCTGAATAAAAGTGAGCGCGCGCGGCACACCTGGGAAGATGGAAATGAAGCCGAGAAGCCTCTGCCACATAATGCTAAAAGGTATGGTTTTTGAACCAAACTTTTGTTTGACATTTTTTTAAACTTGAAATGGACGGAAATGTGGAAGAAATTGAAACAAATCATCATAATCCGAGTATCGATAGCCTGCGTGCAGTCTGGGACTGCACGCAGGCTAAGTATCGAAGGTCAGTAGAGTCATTTTTATAAACAAATGTTGCAATTTAGAGGATATTTATAATCAGATAAGTCATATCCATTTATGTTTATGTGCAAGTTTTCAATATTTTTCGGTGCAAATGGACAGAAGAAGTGATATTGGATTCACTCCAGGAGACTCAAGTACGCCTAAAAAGGAACGTGGAAAACATGCTTTAACACCCTCGAAAGTTGATATCGAACCGAACTGCAAACAGTTATATACGACGCCATATTGGTTGCATTAACCAGCAGAGGCTTCCTTTATTTCGCTTTTCCATCACTCTTTGCGCGCTGACTTTTCCCTCACTAGAAACTTCATGTAAGCCACTGCGGAGGAGAGAGACTAATTTCCACAGTTTACATGACATATTTTTGTGATATAAACTCCATACCTATATATTTATATATTGCTGAATGTTAAACTTTTTGTAAGCTTTGTTTTTATGTATTGTTAGTAATTCTTTCGATGCATGTGGAGAAATTGAGGATGCCTACGCTGTCTTGGGAAATTATAATCGCGTTTACGCGTCTATTACATTGAACAGAAATTTCTTATGCCGTTGTCGGAAACGTATATTTCTACTCGACAAAACTGTTTATTTTAAACTTAAATTCATTGAAACTCTCACATTTGATTTACAAAATCTCTCACTGTTTTGTTTTTCTCTCATACCTGAGCCCTCGATCCTAGCGCCCGCGGCTCTTCTGTTCGCAATACTTTATATAAGTCTTAATAACTATATGTAATGTCAATAATGTCTAAAATGATCTACACTCTCCCCCCATTTGATTCCGAAGGAAACAAATGTATGTTCTGTTCAATTAGTGTTCAATTTCATCTTCTTCAGCGATACTTTTGATTCGTTCCTCCGCGGCTGCAGCTGCTCGTCTTTTCGGTCGAAACTCTCTCGCTTTCACATTCAAGGTTGCTTGTTTCTCTTCCGGTCCTACTGGCGGATTATCACATGTCAGTTCCATCGGGGCTAACTGCTGAACGGCGCGTTCCAAATAGGACTTCCCTGCTCTGAGTTTCGCAGCTCTTACTACACCGTTCTTTCCTTTTATAAGCTTAACTACGATACCGACATTCCACTTTCCTCGATTCCGTTCGTCGTTTTGGATCAAAACTACGTCTCCTACTTTAACGCTTACTTCTTTCCCCTTGTTGTTCAGATTGTGCCGTTCTCTCAGTCCGTTTATGTACTCTTTTGTCCATCGAGACCATACCGCGTCCTTGCACTTCGATAAATGCCTTGCTCGTTTCCTCAGCTCTACGCCTTCGACATCACTAGTTTCTTCTTCGGGAAGTAGGTTAGGTTGCATAAACAGCATTGAGTTTGGCGTCAGGGTAGGAAATTGAACATCGTCCTCGACATAGCCCAAAGGCCGATTGTTAACCGCTATTTCTACATCCAGGATCACCTCTTCAAGCTCTCCCCATCGCAAATTAGCACGTCCGATGCTCTTGTATAGTGCTCTTTTTACCAGGCCCACCATCCTCTCAAACTGGCCTCCCCACCAAGGAGCCCTGCTCAGGTTGAACTGCCAAACGATATTTTGACGGGCGAGGAAGTTTTGAAACTGTTCTTGTTTCATTACCTTTCTTATCCAATTTGCTGCTGCTTTGAAGGTCTTTCCGTTATCCGAATAGATCTTCTTTGGTCTGCCCCTTCTCGCTACGAACCGCTTCAAGCTCCTGATACAATTTTCCGCCGTCTGATCCGGAAGAAGTTCCAGGTAAATGGCACGGGTTAGGCTGCAGGCGAACAAGAGAATGTACGCTTTGCCAATTCTTTTCTTGCTAGATCTATAGGTTATAGGACCAGCGTAGTCTATGCCCAGGACTTCGAATGGTACTGATCCGACTGTTCGATCTGTGGGTAAGGGTCCGACAGGAGGGTGATGAAATGTGGAAGTATGGAACTTCTTGCAGCCATAACAGTTCCTTATGACTTTCTTGCTTAGCTGTCTCAGCCGAGGTACCCAGTATTTTTGTCTCGTGTAGGCCATTGTTGATCCCACTCCCCGTGAAGGCTTTGAACATGGGCGTTGTGAATGATTTTCGTAGTAATGAGCGCATTTGGAGGTAGATATATCGGGAAGTTTCCTTGAATTCTTCCACGGCATTCGTAAAGGTCATTGGGATTTCGTTGTAGGTTCAGCTTCAACTTATCTTCTTTGAACTGTTCCGTTTCACTGTGTGCTTCGGTCGCTCTTTTCACCCAGAACTGAACTCGTGCTTCCGTTTCAGCTGTCGTTAAAGGCCCATATGTCCGTTCAGCCTTAGAAGACTTGCAATTACAGATAAATCTGACGATCCACGCGAAGACACGCACTGCCTTCCAAAAGCTACGATTCTCTAATAGCTCGTCCAGATCATCCATCGCACACACAGCGGTTACCAACAGTTCCTTGATAGGCTTCGATTCAGTTTCAGACTCTTTGCTAGGCTTGCTATGTATGTCAGCTGGCCATTCATCGGGTTTTGACAGCCAATCTGGTCCTGTTAACCAAGATTCTGGTAACTTCGCTGTCGTACATCCTCGGCTTCCCAGGTCGGCTGGGTTCTCATCCGTTCTCACATGTCTCC